GGTGAAATGTGATTTGCGTGTGTCTGAGGTGCGCTTGTGGCTTTGATTGAAGGGGCCTTTTATGGTGTGTGTGAGTGTGCTAATTCTCTCTATGTCCATTCACAAAGTTTCCTAAAGTAGCCCGTCTGGACTCCATCTTTTAATAAGAGAAAAGGGACAAATATAACTGAAATGTGCATAACAAATTGTAAAAATGTAAGCACGTCGTGTTGATCAGCAGCATATAATAATACTAATAATACTAATACATTGGATTTATATAGCGCTTTTCAAGGACCCAAGTCGCTTTACAATTATAGAAATGAAAAAGAAAAACAACATCGGAGTCAAAACAAAACATCGGACTAAACAAAACATGAGTAAAGAGACGGGTGGGCTCAAAGAAGGGAAAGAGTGAGATGTATCAGTGTATGGGGAGGGTAAGGTTGGGAGTTTAGGGTAAGGGGCGGGATTGGGCATATGTGCAAGGAACAGTTGCGAGTGGCGACCCGTCATTCAGGGCAGGTGAGCCCAACCTGTTTTGCATGTTATTTTGGCATTAATATGTGTCACATATCAGTTTGCAAACAATGTTAAAACAAAACAAAATTATTGAGTAAATAAAGCCACGTACAAACTTGGTCTCTTTTATCCTTTCTTGAGTAAGGCAGCTCCAAAAAGCAGGTGTTTCAGTTTAGCTCAGTGCTTTCTGTGGTGTTGGGGCAGCCAGCGGAAATTATGGAGCATAGGGGTCGGTAATGCTTTCTAGTTGCACCATGATTGGCTCAGTGTTCTGTCACTCATGGGGACACTACATCACTGCAAAATCTACAGGTAGAGCTCGAAAATTCAAGCCCCTTGGGTGCTGCCATAGAGTTACATTAGAAGTGCCCATCCAAGAAGGCTCAAGGTCATTGGTCACAGATAAAATTACATCAAATCACGTTATATCTACCGTAGCTTTGATTGGACTGATCATGTCAACATCATACTTTCAAAAGCTTAGCTAGCAAGCTAGCAGTTATCATCATGAATCAAGTCGATAATCTACTGGCAAATTCTTTTCAATCCTTGTCATATGAAGAGAAATAATGAAGAGAAATTATAGATAAAACGTATCGTGCTCATCGGCCATTGGACATAAACATTACACAACAAGTTGGAAATCGCAAATTCAACAATTAGTGGTTTGGAAGAAATCAGTGGCTAACTGCAAGCATTGCAAAGCAATCACTAGCCTGTTATTCAGTGGAGTGGGTGTGTGGTCCAAGTCTGGGTTTAAGGGTCTCTTTTCCAAGCTTAAAAGGATAAACATTCAACATTGGCCATGCTGTCAATCCAGCATGACTTCAGTCGCACTCAAAACCACTGGAAACTCTGAACTGGGAAGTCTCAGACTTCAGTGAGTTCAAGACAACTGGGAACGAGCTCCGACTGGGAAAATACGTTTTGAACGGTCATCCAACTCAGAATTGCAAGTCGGGAACTCAAGCCTCTTTCTAGAGCTCCGACCTGAAGATCACTGACGTCATCATGATTCAACCTTGTTTTTTCTCAGAGTTCCCAGTTGTCTTGAAAGCACCATAAATCCAGAGAATGGCAGACTTTGATGACAAAGTTTGATGACAATATTTGCCCACGAAGGACCGCCACGCCACCTTCCTGTTCAAGTGAGCACAGCACAACAAGGTGAGTCCAAAAATTTATTGTATGCTGCTGCATAAATTATGTATAATGCCAGGGAGATATGTATACTGTAGCTAAGAAAGTAATACTAAGTGTAAATTGTGTAGTAAGCTGTTAGTAGCCCATGTGCCTCACCCTAATAATTTAGCCTACTGTTCTGACTTGGTGGTGCACATGTAGGCTATAGCCTGTTTTAGAGAAATGTCATCATCGAATATTGTAAGAGCTTTCATTGTCTACTTATATGCCCCCTTTATTTATCCTATGGTTCTGACTTGGTGTACAGGGAGAATACTGTAAGAACAGCCCATGTTCTGAATTCTGTCGCTGTACATTTCAAAAGTTATATTGACTACGTCCGTCTTAGCTCACTCATTAATGTCTTAATCAAAATTACGGATTGCCTCTTATCCGCTTGTCGTCCCCTTATGCCATAGTTTGTACATCTCAATTGTCAATAGAAACCACATTTGTTTAAGCAAGTCAGCCATATCAGCTATGTTTTTTTAAAGGCAGTAAATGAGGCTGAATTAACTTTTTCGTTGCCAGACAAGGCTCCGCTGATAGCCAGGTGTAGCAGTGGTAAGGTATTGGGACTGCTGTTGGGACAGCTTTATGTAGGCCCTAACAGTTTGTGGGCACCGTTTGTCACCGTTATAGTGCAATTAATTTTTTGTTTAGTGTTGTGTTGTGTAGTGGCTTTGCTGGCATGCATCTACATTTTCTTTTTTGCCCCACCAAGATTTACATGCTAAAATCACCACTGGCAATGAATGATGACAGGTGCCAGTTTTGCTGTTCTTTCCTCTCATTAATGGGATGCAACTGATGCAAACGTAGCTTGATTGAATCTTGTAGGCTAATATTTTCCGTATCATTATTTCTCTCTCATTATGGAGTCCTCTCTAGCCACGTTGAACAAGATGACATTGCCTTCTTGCAAGGGGATTACCGCAGCAGGTTGTAACGGTATTGTTTGTTGTTGTTCTTAAAATTCTATATTGCGCCAAATTTGCGCATCCCATGTCCCATAACATGGTCATAGAAAATATGAATGTTGTTTCCAACTACCAATCAGCAACTGCGCCATAAATCCGGCTGCATATTGAACATTGAGATTGCCCTATGGCCAGTCTCTTTCGCAATGACAAGGAGTGGCAAGGAGTGGAATGTTCACTAAAGAGACTGGTACTCAGGCTATAATAGGGGTGCTGGGGCATCAAACCTCTGATATGAACACATTGGTATAATATCTGAACCTATGGTCTAATTGTATCCCCCATAGACTGTATTTTATTTAAAAAATAATCCCCTCATAATTGTGGTCTTTTTTAGTTATTGTTTAGTACGATGAAAGGTAGACTGATTATACTGGACTGGTAGACTCCTAAGATGTTGTGTGTGGATGGGAGGACCTCTTCTCCTTTGTTCACATCGTTTATTTTCTACTCTGCTTCTCAGACTTGTTCTATTAGGGACCTTGGCAATTCTACCTTGGTCAGAGAATTTCAGCCTTGGTTCAGCTCCACACTGATTTTGACTTCTGCAAAGACTGTAAGGTCAGGGGTCAAGATGATCCTCTGTAAAGTCAGTAAAGACCATCAATAGGTGCGCGCCAGCTTGTAGTCCTAAAAACTGGACATGCGTTACCTCTGGTTCCTTCAGCCATTCTTATGGGGAAAATTTATGGGGAAAGAATAGGGTTTTGGGATAAAAGCCTAAAATAATTTCTGAGGTTAACACAGGCATTGGAGATCTTATACGTTTTGTTCTGAGATAATATCGGTCAGTTAACGTGACCTTTATGAATTATGAAGCCTTTAAGTGCTTTTTTGATTACATAAATGCTTAAATGTTCCAAAAAGTGACATTTGCTGATGAAGATGAACTCATAGAACAAAACATATTATGTGGTCCTCTGTAGCTCAGCTGGTAGAGCACGGCGCTTGTAACGCCAGGGTAGTGGGTTCGATCCCCGGGACCACCCATACACAAAAATAAATAAATGTATGCACGCATGACTGTAAGTCGCTTTGGATAAAAGCATCTGCTAAATGGCATATTATATTATAAAAACATATAAGATCTAAGCCTGTTTAGCAGAGACCTTATTTTCAGTGTTTATCCCAAAATCCTACAAAAACTCTATTAATTTCCCCATAAGCTTTGGCCAACGAGCCATGGCAGAGTTAGTGCCTACAAAAAGACTCCATTCCTATTGTGCTCTATGATAGTTTAGATTTAGTACAGGGACAATTACATAATTGTAAGCGTCATAATTCGTCTTTGCTCGGTTTTGTCAAACAAATAATTTCAAATTTCCTGAGAGACTTGTCTCCAAGTGATGTGGTTGCCTCTGTTGTAGACATGGAATTCTTAATCTTTGCCGCAGATACTTATTGAGCATCTATAGCACAACTAATCAATAAAAAATACAGACTTTTAAAGGAGTAAAGGATTTATTTATATATACAAAACTGTTTACAGCAAGATTTCAGAGTTAACATTGACCGTGGGGGTATTGGTGTTCAGGTGCACAACACCACCTGGTTTTTGCCCATTGGATCAAGGCAACAGAAGAAAAAAAAAACTAGAGAGCACCTTGAGTCAGGTAGGGAAGCAGGTGGGGGGAATAAAGGGTAAGTTAAGGCACAAGACACAGCATCACCAGCTTCTCTTAGACCATCAATCAATCTACTACTTACTCAAAGAGAAGCACTACCTAAATAAACATCAAAATAACAAATAATAGATACTAGGGGGTGGAATATCTGGATAAATTAAAGTAATGTCAGTAAAAACCATTGGCTTCCAATTGATCTTTTGTTTGTAAGGCTAAAGTGGACACGCAAATCAGGTTATGGTGAGCACTGTGTCCGCGGCTATTCCCTGACTCTACACTAAATTCATAAGTCATACTGGGTCATACGGCTTCCTTATTTAGCTTGACCAAGCCTACATCACTTCTGGAATCAAAACCCCAAAACTAAACCAGCAGATCCTGTGGTCCCCATGAACTGGTTTGCAGTCCACAGTGGTAAGGAATGATCAGTGAATGCAAAAACTGCAACTCCATAATATTCTTAATTATATGCAGACATTTTATTCAATACGCTGCTGAATGAACAAACTTGTATTATCTCAGGATATAACCAACAACACTATCAAACCTGTGTATAGGATCCTAGTTCTCTGGGATCAAAAGGCCACAACTTTTAAATATAACTGATCTCTTCCACTCTTCTAATCTAAACTTCATTCAAGGGTGCCTCGTCCACTGGATAATTACAGCTTAATTATTAATGTCAGATGACAGGTAAATCATAGAGAGGAAGGGAGCGAGGACCAATCGGCATTTTTTCTAAAAGACATGATTTACAGTTCAAGGATGAAGTGTAACCTGAAGTTGACTTGCAGAAGGTTTCACAGTGAAACAATGTTAGCCAAGACCAATGCTAGAGGAAATGTATTTCCGCAACACACATATTGTGTGAAAGAAAACTCATTCCAAGATACTGTAACCAAGACATTTATCAGTTGTGTCATAGCGACTTTCCAACGCCGCTACAACAGCAATGTGAACTGTGGCTCTCTGCCATGGCCGGTGTATTCATTGAAGTATACAGATGACCTGAGAAAAGGAGTCAGGCATGTTTTTTAGGCTTACTATGTACAAGGTGAAGCTAGCCCGTGAGAGTTGGGGACACTGGCCAGTCACCGCTCCATCTGTTGATGCATGGCTAGCTTGTTGATTGCAATTATCAGAGAGCCGTTTTTTGTTGTGAAGTTTGGGCTTGTGGCTCTTATATTACATTTGGCATTTTCATATGTTTTGTTTTTCATGTGGTTTGGTGTATGCCAACCAAACTTGACAGACTTCAGTAAAACTGACAGTGAAACCCTTGTGTGACACCTGTCAGAGTTCTCCTTAGTCAGCCTTGAGTGTGATTGGCTGCCTTTGTAAAACACTGTTGAATTATAAATGGCCACATTGCGACTGCAGCTCCATGGTGCTGGGGAGGTCATGATTGGCAGGCTGGTGGTGATGTGTCTCCTGGTTTCAGCCAATGAGCTTACTGCTGTCCTGGTTAGACCCTCTTACATCACAGCACACTTCTTATCTTCTGAGGGAACGTTCCCATCCGCCCTTTCCATCTCCAGAATGATCCGCTTGAATAACTCTACAGCGGTCTGCAATGCAGAGTTGAACATAGAAAAATAAATAAACACACAATTTTGGTGAGTAGCTCTGTCTCCAGAAAATATATCTTTGTCTACCTCGTTCTCCTTGGCAGAAGACTCCATGAACGCTGCTCCCCATGAGTCGGCCAGCTTCTTCCCTTCCTCTGGCTTAATCACCCTGAGGGGAGAAGGGACACACTGAGCATGATGTAATGAAATCACATAAAGTATATCTTTAAAGTTCAGGGGGGCATGAATGTACCTCTATGGTCACAATGTCCAAGGCCTTGGCTGGATAACCAAGGTGAAACCATATATCAGTTTTGAAAGTGGTATGGTAGTGTCATGGTTCTACACATACTGTACAAGCCATGCATGTGAGAGTGGGAACACCATTGCTCTCCACCTTCATTCAGCTCAAGTAAGTTTACCTTTCCATGTGGAGATCTTTTTTGTTCCCAACAAGAACAGTTGGCACCCTAAAAGAAAACATCCATTGATATTTTTTACTTGGAAAACAAATGTTTTAAGACACACAAATCATCAAAAGTAGCATCAAACCTTTCATAATTTCGGTTAACTTACTGTATTTTCCCAACCATATCTAGAAGCTTGTCATGAAGAACCTGAACAACTTCAAAACTGCAAAAGGTGAAAGACAAAAAGAGACAGGTTACCAGGATCCATGTGTGCATTGATGCACAGACAACCATCTATACACACAGTAGAGTCACAAGGTCAACAGAGGGCAAGGATGTTCTCCCCCCGCTACTCACCCGATGGACAGCCCCCCCCCCCCCCCACAGACTTTTACTCCGCCCCCACCCCAACAGCATTCACCATTATTTATTATAATTTGTATTGATTTTATTTCACTTGGTCCCCACACCCCCTTAATGGTCATGCTGCTCCCCCTATGGTCATTCCCGCCCACACCCTCAACAGTCTTTACTCTGCCTCCATCCCAATGGACATTTATTTATTCATCGCTGCTACAGTTATGATGTATATTGTGCTATTTCTATTGCTATTTTTTAAATTACCATTTTCATTATTTTATTTCACTTAGTCCTGCATGTTGGAGCTTGGAGCGTAAGATGTTCACTGTACCCTGCAATCACACCTGCAACCCTGTACAAGTGACTATTAAACACTGACTCTCTGAAGGATGAACCCAGAATGAAATGTACCTGTGACTACTCACCTTTTCATGGAAGTCACTGCGTAGACCAAGACATAACCATGGATGTCCATTGAATGAGACTGAGGGAAAATAGAGTACTCGTCCTGTAGCGATAAGGGGAGAAATCGGTTAGCGATGAAACACAAGAACGACGGACAAGAGCTTCTGAAATGAATATCGGCCATTGTTTTTCGTCCATATCCCAACAATTCTACGTTGCATCGGCTCAAACTGCCACTGATCACCAGAACACAGCAGGGTTACATGTTTGTATGTATTTTGTGTTTTTATTTCAGAGAGCTGAGAAACAGAGGTAAAGAAAGAAGATGAGTAATGTAAAGCATACATACCTGACCCGCTGTATCGACCAACTGAAGATTGAAGTCTTGACCATTGACAGACACCATTTTGTTGAAGGCTGGAAAGAGGTGAAGAGCCAGTGGTCAAGCCCAAGCCAGGGGTGTATTCATTAGTCAGATTCCGTTGCAAAACGTTTTGTAACAGAAACAGTTTACTCTAAACGTAAAACGTTCTGCAACGAAAACAAGTTTCTATTGGACAAATTGTGGTAGGTCCCTCCCCGTTTGGTTCCTAAAGTAAACAATAATCGGTTTCAGTTGCAAAACGTTTTGCAATGTAATCTGACTAATGAATTGGCCTACATCCCAGGCAACATACAGGAGAAAAATTGTAATTGCTGAATATAGCATGGGCATAAAAGGATAATATATTCTGGATACAACCATGCTATATTCAGCAATTACAATTTGTATGTTGCCTGGGATGTAGGCCAATTCATTAGTCAGATTACATTGCAAAACGTTTTGCAACTGAAACCGAAGCAGCAATGGGTGAAAATACGTATTTTCACCCATTCATATTATTTGATCGTCAATAACACCTTACAATGGGTGCAATAACTTAGAAAAACAAAACTGATCCAACAAAAAAATGAAAAAAAAATAATTACTGTTTTCAATGGTAGGGTCATATGAATCTACGAACTGTCCTTCCACGAACTGTATTGTGAGAGAAGATTTTCCTGTAGAAGTAAAGGAACAATGAATTGTTGTGGTGGCCGATGAGCAACAATTTCCAAAATCATAAAAAATGGCCATTTGTTAAGTAAGAAACTCGAATGTTATCCGACTCTGAACAACAGTTATACATTGTGATTGGCTAACGTTAATTGAGACAGGAGATATTTCACAATGCAACTATCTAACTGTAACTAACTAGCCCGAGTATGAGCTAGACGCGTTACAGTACCACATCGTGGAACTTGGCTGCAGTTGTGGCAAAGTTAGCACACAACTTTGGCATGGTGAATAGAATAAAGGATATCAACGACACAGTTTCGTATTTGTCGACAACGTCTACACAAACTAACATGTACACAATGAAGTTACACAGCTATGGCATGCTGTTTTGGTATGAACTAACTAACATTGGCTAGCTAGCAATCGCGTAGCTATGCAAACAAAAACAAAGGCTTGCTAACGCGTTAGTTAGATTGTTATTTGACTCACCTACAGATCTGTATCCAATCACAGCAATCTTCCTGTATTTTGGTTGAGGCATTGTGTTAAAGTAGTTACTTCAATAGATAGCTAATGTTGAAATGTAGTATGGTCGTTTTAATAACGAAACAAAAACTTTATCGCCACATTCGTATCACGTCACGTGACAACAACAAACTTTTCAGTGCCGCTCAAGCTAACACTCCGCAGGGGCCTCGAGTTGCAACTTCAGAACTGAACTGAAGCTGGTAGAACACGTATTTCGACTGATACTTGCAATATATCGGTTATCGGTACAGTTATGTATGTCGATAATTAGTTTGAAATTATCTAAAGATTAGTTTTTAGAACTTAAAACAGGAAACTAAAACAGCTAATTCACAGCAGTTACGCTTTGCGAGTCACACTGTCGGAAACTGGACAAGCACACCGTCGTAAAACGACATACGTCAGATCTTGACATGAGGGTTCCATCGGGTTTCCACTAGTTACCACATCCACAAAGTCAATATATCGCCATTCATGAAAACAAAAATGTGCTTTTTGGTCTTAATTTAAGGTTAGGGAAGGCATACAGTTAGCAGTGTGGTTAGGGTTCGGTTTAAAGTCAGATTTTAAGAAGATTAATTGTAGAAATGGGCGGGGTTTATGACTTTGTGGCTGGGGTAACTAGTGACGACAGTGCCATTGAGGTATAAGAAGGGTGCCCGATTTTGTACAGCAGAGGTCACTCTCACCCTGATTTAGTTATCTACAAACGTGAGAGACACACACTGGGCCTTTTTAACGCATTCATATTGAAAAACACGTTCAGCTGTTGTTATTATGAATATTATTTTTATTATTAAATGACCATACAAGATTACCATATACATACTTCTACAGATGTTTTTTTTTTTTTTTTATAGGACTATGTGTATGGTGGTCCTTGTTATGTGGTAAGTGATGACTCCAAAATTAGTCTGTTAAACATTTCATAGACATTTTAGTCATTTAGCAGACACTCTTATCCAGTGCATACATAATTTTTTTATTTTTCATACTGGCCCCCCGTGGGAATCGAACCCACAACCCTGGCGTTGCAAACCAACTGAGCAACACTCCTGCCGGCCATTCCCTCCCCTACCCTGGATGACTTATGGGTCTCCCGGTCGCGGCCGGCTACGACAGAGCCTGGATACGAACCAGGATCTCTAGTGGCACAGCTAGCACTGCGATGCAGTGCCTTAGACCACTGCGCCACTCGGTACAGCTGCCTAAAGGGGTGTATGTTAGGTTGAGTGCACTTATGCCATCTTTGTGTAGATACAGCAGCGCCTCAATGACAAAATTGAAGAAGATAAAAATGTTGACAGACTTTTCTTTATCATCTTTACCATACCATTTGGTACTTAGACACATAACAGATGGTGTGGGACATGGATTTGTCTCGACATAAAGACTAGCCAACTTTTGAGGCTCTAAAAACATCAGGCAATCTTCCAGATGGAGTGAAACAGGGTTAACAAATCAATACATTTTCTTAGTCAGTATTCTATGCAAAAAAAAAGAAGCAGCAATGGTGTAAGAAATAGACTGAAAATATTTATTGTTCCAGTAAAGAGTCCTTACAAAAACTATCTTCAGTTTAAATATTCACAGTTTAAACCATTTTCATATACTTTTAACCAGAGTTCAAATTTATAGCTAGCTAACAATCATACATCATAGTAAAGCATTCAGTTTTACAAGACAATTTAACATGTAGTAGCCTACTGTTCTGGCATTGAAATGACAATACATTTGGACATTTGTATGATTCAGGAGAGGTTGAGGAGTGTTTTAAATAAATATATGGACACAAACTCATAATTAAAAACAAAAAACATGATTTAAAAAATGAAAGGAACTTGAGATATTGGAGAAAAATCTCCATGCATTAATGCAACATTGCACAGAAAATGAATGTACACTGACAGACACATAAACACAGGCACTCTTTTACTCAAACACACACACACGAACACACACTGTAAACGCATCACAGTTTAACTTGGTCTTAACTTCCAGGCCATTCTTTCCGGTCTCTACCTTAAATTTCCTTTAGTATGGTGGTGCTAAGTATTGTATGTTGCTGTTCTCTTCACAAAAGGCAGCTGTCCAACTTTTCAGACCAAAAATAAAATGTCCCTATTACATAAGGTTGTGATACAAATGTGTAAATGAGAATTATATACTAAAAAGAGCATTGTAGAATTTTCCATTTGCATAGAAGTAGAGTTACTGTACCTGTCCCTTACTTTCATTACTGTTAACTGATTTACTCTTATTTTTTGACACCATGCAGACATCTGCTTCTTTCCAAAACATTCCATTAAAGGACAACAGAAAGAAGGGAAATTACGTTCACAAGATAACACAGCAGAATAAATAATTTGAATAATAAATAAGGTCATAAGTGCAAGACCACAATAGGCGAAAAGGGAACGAGAGGGGAGAGGAAAAGACAGATCTAAAGAAGTGCACATAGCTGAAGTTCTTGTGGAGTTCCTTCCAGTCAAAGAGTTAGGGATCAAAATGTTTTGAGATTGGCAGACATTTCAGCAGAAGTAACTTTGGATGTCTATGAATGGTTCATATATTGGGAATGACCTTGGGACTAAAAGACGACCATCTCCTTACTCTATGCATAGAAACCTACACTCTTGCTCCCTTTCTGTTCATTTGCATTTGTCTTCCTCTTCTTTTTTATTTTATTTCTCACTTACTCAGTTATAGACCTGACAGAAAAGGAGACGAATTGCATTGGTCCCCTTGTTGCAGTACCTGTACCTATTCTCTGTAAGTATGATCATGTCTGAGGTCCAAGTCCATTCCTGATCAGACGATATGTTTCATCTAACGAAGTTTCCTCCTCTTCTCATATCAGTGGTGACAGGATCACCAGTCAGCAAACAGGTCAATCCCCTTCTCTTTTTCAATGAGAGTTTACTTCAGCTAAATATTTGGGGACACTGCTCTTTGGTAAACTCACTTTGGTTAGCCAAGGTCATTGGCTTGTTCAAGTGTCACTGAATTTTTGAGAGTCCATTAGCCAATAGGAGCCTGAGTGGGATGGTGGAGCGGGACACGGTCGACGGCAGTTTATGCAGCCCTGGGAAGAGATAGAGGACCATATTAGTGAATCAGCCGATCACAACGTGTGTGAGCATGCGTACATGCATGCGTAATTGTGTATGTGTTTGTGACCCCCACATACCGAATGCTCTGATGAGTTCCCTCTGTACAGTCCATGTTAGAGTGTTGATCAGACAGGCGGAGGTCAGCCCGGCAAACAGTATGTTATACAGGAATACGATGTGGAAGTTTCCCAGCCAGTTATACCGACCAAAGTCTCCCAGCAGATCAAACCGGGTGATCCCTGATTCATCAAGACCAAAGGAGAGAGATTCAATGGTTAATGTTTAGAAAAAGCATATATTTGTTGTTATTTATATATGTACAGTGGGGGAAAAAAGTATTTAGTCAGCCACCAATTGTGCATGTTCTCCCACTTAAAAAGATGAGAGAGGCCTGTAATTTTCATCATAGGTACACGTCAACTATGACAGACAAAATGAGAAGAAAAAAAATCAAGAAAATCACATTGTAGGATTTTTAATGAATTTATTTGCAAATTATTATATTTACATTTACGTCATTTAGCAGACGCTCTTATCCAGAGCGACTTACAAATAGGTGCATTCACCTTATAGCCAGTGGGATAACCACTTTACAATGTTCTTTTTTTTTTTGGGGGGGGGGGGGGGGGGGGGGGGGGGGGGTTGGGGTAAGGGGGGTGGTAGAAGGATTACTAAGTATTTGGTCAATAACAAAAGTTTCTCAATACTATGTTATATACCCTTTGTTGGCAATGACACAGGTCAAACGTTTTCTGTAAGTCTTCACAAGGTTTTCACACACTGTTGCTGGTATTTTGGCCCATTCCTCCATGCAGATCTCCTCTAGAGCAGTGATGTTTTGGGGCTGTCGCTGGGCAACACGGACTTTCAACTCCCTCCAAATCTTTTCTATGGGGTTGAGATCTGGAGACTGGCTAGACCACTCCAGGACCTTGAAATGCTTCTTACGAAGCCACTCCTTCGTTGCCCGGGCGGTGTGTTTGGGATCATTGTCATGCTGAAAGACCCAGCCACGTTTCATCTTCAATGCCCTTGCTGATGGAAGGAGGTTTTCACTCAAAATCTCACGATACATGGCCCCATTCATTCTTTCCTTTACACGGATCAGTCGTCCTGGTCCCTTTGCAGAAAAACAGCCCCAAAGCATGATGTTTCCACCCCCATGCTTCACAGTAGGTATGGTGTTCTTTGGATGCAACTCAACATTCTTTGTCCTCCAAACACGACGAGTTGAGTTTTTACCAAAAAGTTCAATTTTGGTTTCATCTGACCATATGACATTCTCCCAATCCTCTTCTGGATCATCCAAATGCACTCTAGCAAACTTCAGACGGGCCTGGACATGTACTGGCTTAAGCAGGGGGACACGTCTGGCACTGCAGGATTTGAGTCCCTGGCGGCGTAGTGTGTTACTGATGGTAGGCTTTGTTACTTTGGTCCCAGCTCTCTGCAGGTCATTCACTAGGTCCCCCCGTGTGGTTCTGGGATTTTTGCTCACCGTTCTTGTGATCATTTTGACCCCACGGGGTGAGATCTTGCGTGGAGCCCCAGATCGAGGGAGATTATCAGTGGTCTTGTATGTCTTCCATTTCCTAATAATTGCTCCCACAGTTGATTTCTTCAAACCAAGCTGCTTACCTATTGCAGATTCAGTCTTCCCAGCCGGGTGCAGGTCTACAATTTTGTTTCTGGTGTCCTTTGACAGCTCTTTGGTCTTGGCCATAGTGGAGTTTGGAGTGTGACTGTTTGAGGTTGTGGATAGGTGTCTTTTATACTGATAACAAGTTCAAACAGGTGCCATTAATACAGGTAACGAGTGGAGGACAGAGGAGCCTCTTAAAGAAGAAGTTACAGGTCTGTGAGAGCCAGAAATCTTGCTTGTTTGTAGGTGACCAAATACTTATTTTCCACCATAATTTGCAAATAAATTCATTAAAAATCCTACAATGTGATTTTCTTGATTTCTTTTCTTCTCATTTTGTCTGTCATAGTTGACGTGTACCTATGATGAAAATTACAGGCCTCTCTCATCTTTTTAAGTGGGAGAACATGCACAATTGGTGGCTGACTAAATACTTTTTCCCCCCACTGTATGTCAGTCTGTCATACAACAGCACCTGACGCCGAGTTCTCCACTGCAGACTTACCCAGAGTCCTAGAAAATACAGGCAGAGCTGAGCTGAGCACCAATAGAGACACACAGTTCCCAATAATCTGAGAAAATAGAGCAAGAAAGTTGGGTTATTATTAGAGTGCCCCACGGAAGAGAGAGCGAGCAGTGTGTGTGTATGCATGCGTGCCAGTGTGTGTGTGTGTGTACCTGTGTCAGTGTGGTGTCCTGCGCGCGGGGGCGTAGTCCAGTGAACAGTGGGGAACTGTAGAAACCCACTACTGAGGAGACCATGAGATACAGGATGAGGATCACCTGCACTGCAGCCCCTAACGAACCAAACATGGAGAACGAGGCAGCGCCCAGGAGAGGGTCCTTCAAGAGGAGAGAGAGAAAGAAAGTTAATACCATTTACATCCTGTGTTAAAACAATTAAATGTCAGTAGTACACACATTATAAAAACTCTGTTTCATAGTGTATATAGGTCTACTACAAAGAGCAATTTTATGCTATACAGTGTCCCTTAAAGTTAATAGGCAAGAACTAGTAGCGGCTACATATCTTTGTTTGAATTAAATTAGATATTTGCTGAATTATTAGTTATTGCTTGTAAAGGAAAGCATCCCCTCACCTCCATCCCTCGAGGCATAGCTGTATCATCAAACAGCAACTCCACCACATGGTAACACACAATGAGCACACACACCACCTGGGAAAGAGAACAACACTCACAGCCAATCAAAACACACACAACATTTTGTATGAGGAAGTGATGTCAGGTATGTGTCAGCAGGTGAGGTGAGTGCTGAGTCTGCCTCTCCTCACCGTTACAGCCAGCAGCAACAGCATGGCCAATGGGTATCCTAGGTTACGCTGCCATGGTGACGCTCTCTTCCGTATCTCTGAAGGCAAAAACAGAAATCCAGAGTTAGTGTCTGAGAATCCCAGTCTTTTTATCTGTTGGAGTTTTTCCTGACCACGTGACCTGACGGGACAAACTCCAGGCCCTAATTATAGCCAGTTTTCCTGGCCAGGCCTCGTGGCATAGGGCATGTTCTGTGTTTCTATGAAAGTCAATGGTTCTTACCCAGAGCAATCCGCCGGGCCTGAATGTTGAGGAACCGGTTCCTCAGAACCTCTGCATTCACATTAATCCATAACGAGGTCCCACCTACGGAGGAGAGAGAGAGATTTTGTGATAAGCTCCTATTCATTCCCTTTAAAGAGAAATAGCATCTCTTGAATTATGCATGAAATAGACAAATTATAGCATAAAATTGACATACACTACCGTTCAAACGTTTGGGGTCACTTAGAAATGTCCTTGTTTTCGAAATAAAAGCAATTTTTTTGTCCATTAAAATAACATCAAATTGATCAGAAATACAGTGTAGACATTGTTAATGTTGTAAATGACTATTGGAGCTGGAAACGGCTGATTTTTTAATGGAATATCTACATAGGCGTACAGAGGCCCATTATCAGCAACCATCAATCCTGTGTTCCAATGGCACGTTGTGTTTGCTAATCCAAGTTTATCATTGTAAAAGGCTAATTGATCATGAGAAAACACTTTAGCAATTTTGTTAGCACAGCTGAAATATGTTGTGCTGATTAAAGAAGCAATAAAACTGGCCAGAAACAAATAACTTTCTTCTGAAACTCGTCAGTCTATTCTTGTTCTGAGAAATGAAGGCTATTCCATGTGAGAAATTGCCAAGAAACTGAAGATCTCGTACAATGCTGTGTACTACTCCCTTTACAGAACAGCACAAACTGGCTCTAGCCAGAATAGAAAGAGGAGTGGGAGGCCCCGGTGCACAACTGAGCAAGAGGACAAATACATTAGAGTGTTTGAGAAACAGACGCCTCACAGGTCCTCAACAGGCAGCTTAATTAAATAGTACCCGCAAAACACCAGTCTCAACATCAACAGTGAAGAGGCGTCTCCGGGATGCTGACCTTCTAGGCAGAGTTGCAATGAAAAAGCCATATCTCAGACTGGCCAATAAAAAGAAAAGATTAAGATGGGCAGTCTGAGATATGGCTTTTTCTTTGCAACTCTGCCTATAAGGTCAGCATCTCGGATTAGCGAACACAACGTGCCATTGGAACACAGGACTGATGGTTTCTGATAATGGGCCTCTGTACGCCTATGTAGATATTCCATTAAAAAAATCAGCCGTTTCCAGCTACAATAGCCATTTACAACATTAACAATGTCTACACTGTATTTCTGATCAATTTGATGTTATTTTAATGGACAAAAAAATTGCTTTTCTTTCAAAAAACAAGGACATTTCTAAGTGACCCCAAACTTTTGAACGGTAGTGTATATTATATCATGGATATACAGTACGTTATGTCATGGGACTTACTAGTGAGTTTCCTGGATAGAGAGGCCTCTTCAAACCCAGCACAACTCATTGTCTCATCAAGGTCCTCCAGCAACTGAGGATGGAAGACATTAAGGGAGTCAGACCAGCACACACATACAGTTCATACCAACACCACACACATACAATAGGGTACACCTATACACAAAGCTATATACATACAGTACATAAACTAAAGGACAAAAACACACTGACATGAGTCTTACACAGACACACTCACCCTTGGTTTGACCAGTAGGCTTCCTGTGACGCTGAACATGCGTGATAGTCCCAGAGGAGTGCATACTGTGGGAGACACAGGGGATAAATTCATTTAATATATAATACACAGGCATCACAGAGAGAAACCTCATATTTATTAAATGCCCGCGGCCTGGGGCAGGGATACTCATGGGTAAACATGTACTGTACTTACACAACAGCAGCAGGACTCCGAACAAGGAAATGCAGGAGTACAGATAAGGCAGGTAATACTCCCACAGATCTGAGACAAAAGATTGAGTACATTATAGATACATTTAGGAATTAAACTTACATTTCACATATGCAGTTAACAATGGCAACAGACGAAATATGAGAAGAGGTGGAAGGTAAAACACGAAAAGCACATAAAACAGCTTTAAGGGTATGAAAGTGACAGAAAAAGGGGGGAGATCGAGAGAGAGAGGTTGTTTTACCGTAAAGACTCTGTCTGGCCATGTTGTCATCAAGGATGGCTGATGCCACCCACACCATCCCCAACACGAGCAGGGTCAGGAGGAAGAGGACTACTGCTGTCTCATACAGACGGGCCATCACACCCTGTGTACAGACGGTATACAAACGTTATACCACGTTATATACACTGAGTGTACAAAACATTAGGAACACCTTCCTAATATTGAGTTGCACCCCCCTTTTCCCTAAGAAAAGCCTCAATTCGTCGGGGCATGGACTCTACAAGGTGTTGAAAGCGTTCCACAGGGATGCTGGCCCATGTTGACTCCAATGATTCCCAGAGTTGTGGGAAGTTGGCTGGATGTCCTTTGGGTGGTGGACCATTCTTCATACACAAAGGAAGCTGTTGAGTATGAAAAACCCAGCAGCATTGCAGTTCTTGACACACTCAAACCGGTGCGCCTGGTACCTACTACCATACACTGTTCAAAAGGCACTTAAATATTTTGTCTTGCCCATTCACCCTCCGAATGGCACACATACACAATCCATGTGTCAATTGTCTCAAGGCTTAAAAATCCTTCTTTAACCTGTCTCCTCCCCTTCATCTACACTGATTGAACTGGATTGAACAATATCAATAAGGGATTATAGCTTTCACTTGGATTCACCTGGTCAGTCTATGTCTTGGAAAGAGCACTCAGTGTACATATACATTTACATTACATTTACGTCATTTAGCAGACGCTCTTATCCAGAGCGACTTACAAACATGATGCTCTATCACCTGCCTGGTCCAAGATCTGTTTGTGCTTTAGCCAACTCATCCCAATCATCATGTCATCACAACACTCAGGGGATTTGGCTCGAACACATCTGCTACCAGTCTGCTCTGTCACTGAAGCAGTTACCTTTTTGGATCCAGCGAAGCCCTCAGACTCAGTGAAGAAGTAGGCAAAGGGCAGGAGGAAGACCAGGGAGAGGTTGGAGAAGAGGAAGACTATATTCCACAGTCCTGCATTGAGAGATGGAGACAGACAGTGAGAGGCTCACTCTCTATATTCTATACACTATCTAGAATGCTATCTAGAATCTAAAAGGGTTCTTTGGCTGTCCCCATAGGAGAACCCTTTGAAGAAACCGTTTTGGTTCCAACTAGAACCCTTTTGGTTCCTGGTAAAACCTTTTCCACAGAGGGTTCTACATTGAACCGAAAAGGGTTCTACCTTGAACCAAAAAAGGTTATCCTATGGGGACAGCCGAAGAACCCTTATGGAACCCTTTTTCTAAGAGTGTAGTCTCTAGTGGAGTTTCATAAACGTCAGTTTTAAAAGTTCAAGGCTCTGAGGAGCTCGTATCTGTAGTCTTATCATCACCACTGAGTAAAGGTAATAGTTACAACCTTAGCAACCTGGGGCGGATTGACATTTCTCTCTGAACAAATGAAATGGGAAAGCAAATATGTGAAGCATGTGCACTGAACCAACTACCTGCTGAGAATATCTTTCATTAGCACATGACTTTAAACCGTCATTCATCATTCACACAAACAAAATGTCTGTATGCATTAGGTGTGTCTGTCAGGTGTGTGTGTGTGTGTGTGTGCGCGCGTGTGAGTGAGTGAGTATGTTAATGTAGGTGCTTGTGTGTGTGTTTACCGTGTATAAGAGATCCGTTAAGCCACTGCATGTAGTAGCTTTGTGGGAAGGAGAGCAGGACCTCGTTGGACAAGATGGAGAGAGGTAGGAGTAGGACAGCGCCCATAGAGACAGAGAGAGTGAACGTACAGAGACACAGCCTATAGAAAGACAGAGAGAAAAAGGGGGAGAGAGAAAAATGGATTTCACAAAAGAAGCAGCAGTCCCATATGACACATATAAATATTAAATATGTAGGTAGGTTCAGTATATTGGTTTTCTGACATTCTGTGGCAGAATAGACATGATTGGTGGTAATAAAGCCTATATTGTTAAAAGTTACTCACGCAATTTTGTTGACTGTTTCATCTTCACTGTTATCTATAATTTAAAGAACACAACACAATTATTAGTATGACTTACAGAAAGAGGAAAAAGCGTGTGGGGGGAGGGGACAGACAGGCTGGGCAAGAAGCTGGGAACTTGATCAAAGACCACCTTCCCCTAAATTCCTGAAGGGCGACAAGCACACATTGCTCAATTCTCACCAGTGGTGTAGTGGAGGGTATACGCAGGTATACCTACTTATTTTTCATTAAGTATTGCGAATACTCACTTCTTAATCCCCACAGTAACTTAACTAAATGACTATCGCCCCGTAACACCCACTTCTGTCACCATAATAATATAATAATAAAAATAATAATAATAATAAGCCATTTAGCAGACGCTTTTATCCAAAGCGACTTAGTCATGCGTGCATACATTTATTTTTTTTGTGTATGGGGGGTCCCGGGAATCGAACCCACTACCTTGGCGTTTCAAGCGCCATGCTCTACCAGCTGAGCTAGAGGACCATGAAGTGCTTTGAGAGGCTAGTTAAGGATCATATCACCTGTACCTTACCTAACACCCTAGACCCACTTCAATTTGCTTGCCGCACCAATAGATCCACAGATGATGCAATCACCATCACACTGCACACTGCCCTATCCCATCTGGACAAGGAATACCTACGTAAGAATGCTGTTCATTGACTATAGCTCAGCCTTCAACACCATAGTACCCTCCAAGCTCATCATTAAGCTCAAGGCCCTGGGTCTGAACCCCACCCTGTGCAACTTGGTCTTGGACTTCCTGACGGGTACCCCCAGGTGGTGAAGGTAGGAAACAACACCTCCACTTCGCTGATCCTCAACAGAGGGGCCCCACAGGGTTGCGTGCTCAGCCCCCTCCTGTACTCCCTGTTCAGCCATGACTGCGTGGCCATGCACGCCTCCAACTCAATCATCAAGTTTGCAGACGACACAACGGTAGTAGGCCTGATTAGCAACAATGACTAGACAGCCTACAGGGAGGATGTGAGAGCCCTGGCTGAGTGGTGCCAGGAAAATAACCTCTCCCACAACGTCAACAAAACGAAGGAGCTGATCGTGGACTTCAGGAAACAGCAGAGGGAGCACGCCCCTATCCACATCGACGGGACCGCAGTGGAGAAGGTGGAAAACTTCAAGTTCCTCTGCGTACACATCACTGACAATCTGAAATGGTCCACCCACACAGACAGTGTGGTGAAGAAGGCGCAACAACGCCTCTTCAACTTCAGGAGGCTGAAGAAATTTGGCTTGGCCCCTAAGACCATCATAAACCTTTACAGATGCACAATTGAGAGCATCCTGTCAGGCTGTATCACCGCCTGGTACGGCAACTGCACTGCCCGCAACTTCAGGGCTCTCCAGAGGGTGGTGCAGTCTGCCCAACGCATCACCGGGGGCACACTGCCTGCCCTCCACGACACATACAGCACCTGATGTCACAGGAAGGCCAAAAAGATCATCACGGACATCAACCACCCGAGCCACGGTCTGTTCACCCCGCTATCATCCAGAAGGCGAGGTCAGTACAGGTGCATCAAAGCTGGGACCGAGAGAATGAAAAACAGCTTCTATCTCAAGGCCATCCGACTGTTAAATAGCCATCACTAGCCGGCTACTTAACCCTTCACCTTAGAGGCTGCTGCCCTATTGTTACGTGAATTTCTATCCCAATGTTTCAAAAATTAACTTATTACTCAGTCTGTATCCCAGAGGTTGTAAATCTCTAATAAATCAGACCAAGCAGCCCAGCATACAATCATCAGGCTTTATTCATGAGAACGTTCTGCCATCACAATTTCAGAGTCCATTTTTTATACTCATACGTCATACAAACATCCCTCTTTTCTGTAGGCGTGCTGTAGTTTTCCACTTTAAAACTGCTCTCCTGACCATCAGTACACACACACACACACACACACACACACACACACACACACACACACACACACACGCATTCCTTAGTTATCGTCGTCCTCACATATCCTGCATACTCCTTAAAAAACCTAACAGTTTCTCTCCTCCCTAAATTGGGAGGCCCCTTTATCTTGGTTTAGACAGTTCTCCTTTGTTGTCTGGTCTAACTCTTACTCACATTGCTAAATAGTCGTCTTTACTGGTCCTACACTCACACATTTCTAACACATTTCACACCGTTTCAGGGTGTAATAATTAGTCATTAATAATTAATCTATCACCTATATACATAGACATGGAATCACTGGCCACTTTAATAATGGAACACTAGTCACTTTAATAATGTTTACATACTGCTTTACTAATTTCATATGTATATACTGTATTTTAGTCAATGCCAATCCGAAATTGCTCATCCTAATATTTAGATATTTCTTAATTCCATTCTTTTACTTTTAGATTTGTGTATTGTTGTGAATTGTTAGATACTACTGCACTGTTGGAGCTAGGAACACAAGCATTTCGCTACACCCGCAATAACATCTGCTAAACATGTGCATGTGACCAATAACATTTGATTTGGATTTGATGCATATCAGAGTAGTGTAGTGGAGGTATACACCGTGTCAATTACTAGGGTGATGGAACAGATCACAATGTTTAGCTTCAAATGTTGATAAACTATTATTTATTCACTTTTTAGGCCCAGAAATGTACACAGGGCAGTAGGCCTACGCGTGAATGTTGCAAAATGCAATTTACGTGAAAACACCGTTCTAAAATGCTCCCCGCACATGCAAGCGGTTTCATAGACAGAGATGGAAATATCTGTTAGAAAGAGGGGGGATTTAAAGATGCAACTATCATAGGTTGCTAATAAGATTAGGATAATGCCTTTGGCTGCTAGACAATGAAATAACTTTGAAAGAAAACCAATAGAACAGGAGAAGGCATATGAGGAAGTCTTTATAAGAATAATTGCCTCCACGTTTATATGGTGGGATTTTGGCTAAAGGTTACTTTGAAGCAAGGTAAGATATGCCTCATAATATGAAGCAAAATGTCCAGGTTTCAAACAAATTAAGGAACAGGAAAAATATAGTGATGCTAATGATAGACCTAACTCTCTTCTGGTAGATGGAAAGGCTTTCCCAAAAACCTTCTCTATTAAATGTTAACTAGCTACAAAGTAGGCCATGCCTATCTGTCAGAATGATATCATGATGATTATTTTCATCAATCCAGTGGCCATTTATTTTGCAAACTCCATCTCACGTGCTACAGAAACACTGCTAATAAAACAATATTTCTAGGTGCCTGCACACTTGAATTAAAGGTTAACTACTCTAAAAAATCTAAACTTCTTAGATTTTTCCCAGTCCTCAAAAGTGGTCTCCTGATGTGGTTTAAGCATTGTTATGGACTTAGAACATACAATTTTGTTGTTTTTCTGTAAAAAACAAAACAAAAAAAGTGTGACTTTGAGAACGAAAACCTGAATGAAATGGGGGAAATCTGAAACCGGTGAATTTCTGACTCAGTTTATCTGTTTCAATAGTAGGCCTACTATTAGCCTACTGCACAGTACAGCTTGGGTTGTCCTGACTGTGAAAGACCAATATGGAATTGATCATTTTAGGTCATTCAGAGTGAGTGACATTCACTCTGAATGAAACGGGCGGGCCGTTTGGAAGAATGCTGGCAAAATTAGAGTATACCCACTTCTCCAGGTACCACTACACCACTGATTCGAACAAACACCTGCAGGCTAAAACTGTTCTTGGAGTAACAACTATAAACGACAAACATGTTTGCACATGTGTGGAAGAGTGTTTGTGTGTGATCAAGCAAAGCAAAATCTTGTGTAGGCCTATGTAAAAATCTAATCAACGTTTATTTGTCACATACACGTGTTTAGCAGATGTTATTGTGGGTGTAGTGAAATGCTTGTGCTTCTAGCTCCGACAGTGCAGTAATATCTAACAATTTCACAACATATACCCAATACACACAAATCTAGTAAGGAATGGAATTTAAGAATATATACATATATGGACTAGCAATGACAGAGCGGCATGGACTAAGATACAGTAGAATATTATAGAATACAGTAAATACATATGAGATGAGTAGTGCAAGATATGTAAACATTATTAAAGTGACTAGTGTTCCATTTCTTAAAGTGGCCAGTGATTTCAATAGGCAGCAGCAGCCTCTAATGTGCTAGTGATGGCTATTTAACAGTCTGATGGCCTTGAGATAGAAGCTGTTTTTCATTCTCTCGGTCCCAGCTTTGATGCACCTGTACTGATCTCGCCTTCTGGATGATAGCGGGGTGAACAGGCAGTGGCTCAGGTGGTTGATGTCCTTGATGACCTTTTGGGCCTTCCTGTGACATTGGGTGCTGTAGGTGTCCTGGAGGGCGGGTAGTTTGCCTCCGGTAATGTACCCCCAGTAATGGACAGTGTGTGTGTGTGTCACGATCGTCGGGAACAGAGGACCAATGCGCAGCGTTATTTGCGAACATACTTATATTTATTAAATAATGATCACACGAACAAAACAACCAACGAAAACGTGACGTCCTAGGTTCTACAACACAAACCTAAACAGGAACAAGATCCCAAACACACTGTGGAAAAACAGACTGTTTAAATATGGTTCCCAATCAGAGACAACCAGCAACAGCTGACACTCGTTGCCTCTGATTGAGAACCACTCTGGCCAACATAGAAACACAATACAAGAACTCTACCCTAGAAACACAAAACTAGAACAACATAAAGAACACTCACACCCTGGCTCAACATACAAGCGTCCCCAGAGCCAGGGCGTGACAGTACCCCCCCCCCCCCCCAAAGGCGCGGACTCCGACCGCGCCAACAGAACACCAGAGGGGAGGGACCGGGTGGGCACTCCGCCTTGGCGGCGGATCCGGCTCTGGGCATGATCCCCACACCCTCTCTAACCCCCCACAGTACTAGAGCGGATTGCTCTAGCTCCGGCGTGGAGCAGCTGACCGGTACCGGACCAGGCACCGGTGGAACAGGCACGGGCTGTACCGGACTGACGACGCACACCACTGGCTTGGTGTGGGGAGCAGGAACAGGCCGAGCCGGGCTGGCGACGTGCACCATAGGCTTGGTGCGGGGAGCAGAAACAGGCCGGGCCGGGCTGGCGACGCGCACCATAGGCTTGGTGCGGGGAGCAGGAACAGGCCGGACCGGGCTGGCGACGCGCACCATAGGCTTGGTGCGGGGAGCAGGAACAGGCCGAGCCGGGCTGGCGACGCGCACCATAGGCTTGGTGCGGGGAGCAGGAACAGGCCGGGCCGGGCTGGCGACACGCACCATAGGCTTGGTGCGGGGAGCAGGTACAGGCCGGGCCGGGCTGGCGACGCGCACCATAGGCTTGGTGCGGGGAGCAGGAACAGGCCGGACTGGGCTGGCGACGCGCACCACAGGCTCGGTGCAAGGGACAGGAACGGGCCAGACCGGACTGGTAACACACCCCAGTACCTCTCGCCGTGCCTCTACACTTTCCTTCCCCTTTGTGACCAGTGGCCCCCTTAACCTGGCGGCCTCCTCTGCCAACCCGCTGGACCACTCTATCGCGGCCTCCTGCTGCCCCGTCGCCCACGGTGTGAGCCCCCCCCAAAATGTTTTGGGGTGTCTCTCCTCCCCGTGGACCAAGCCTCCCTATCTCTCGCCAGACTCTTCCTCCACTGCTCCAAAGTCCAACCTCTCTGCTCTTCACTTGGCTTGACCCAGTCGAGACTCTTCCTCCACTGCTCCCAAGTCCACCCTCTCTGCTCTTCACTAGGCTTGACCCAGTCGAGGTTGCCACGGAGATCCGCTAGCGATTCCCCTGGTGATGGCTCCAGGACACGCTGCTTGGTCCAGTTTTGGTGGGATCTTCTGTCACGATCGTCGGGAACAGAGGACCAATGCGCAGCGTTATTTGCGAACATACTTATATTTATTAAATAATGATCACACGAACAAAACAACAAACGAAAACGTGACGTCCTAGGTTCTACAACACAAACCTAAACAGGAACAAGATCCCACAAACACTGTGGAAAAACAGACTGTTTAAATATGTTTCCCAATCAGAGACAACCAGCAACAGCTGACACTCGTTGCCTCTGATTGAGAACCACTCTGGCCAACATAGAAACACAATACAAGAACTCTACCCTAGAAACACAAAACTAGAACAACATAAAGAACACGCACACCCTGGCTCAACATACAAGCATCCCCAGAGCCAGGGCGTGACAGTGTGTGCATGTCTGTGGGTGTGTGTGTTTATGCTGCAGGCTACAAACCTTGAACCGGCAATACTAGTTATTTCCGAAAGCAGGAATTTAAATTGCCCAAAAGCAAAATGCTCTTCCTTATCACAGTACAGTAATACATTGTTTGAAAATCTCTGGGCCCCATGTGTGTATGGCGCTGATCCGTGACAGATCATGGTATTGATCAGATAGGTCAGCTGTTTCCAACAACTGAACAAATCAGTGCACAATTTAGTATGCATGTGCAAGTGTTGGGGAAAAGGGGTGGGGGTGGTATTGAACAATTTGCTAACCAGACCCCGTACAATTAAGTATTTAGTCATAAAAACTGAATTATCATATTTGGCACAGGCTTTGAAGTTTAGGCTTATTTTGTACCCCATTGTTTTGTTCCAGCAAAATAAGACAGGCTATCTATCCGAAGTGCAGAGTCCTTTGTTGGTTAAAGTAAAACCCAACTCTCTGTTTCCCCCTTACTTCTCTATCTCTGGCTTCGTACATGGTTTACACACTACACAAGAGATATTACTAGAACGGAACTGTAGCCAGAAACATCTGGTTTGTGAAAACCCCCAGTCCCCACACCCATATTGGCTGTCCAAGGGGTGCTGCGGACCGTACATTCCTGACTGGGTGGGGGTTGGTTCTGTGTGTGTGTGTATGTGTGTGTCTGTCCGAGTGTGTGTCCAAGTGTGTGTGTGGGGGTTGTTGTGCACTGTGTATGCCCTACAGAGGGTATTATTATCCCAGGGGAACATTCCTTGCGCCCCTTGCCCCGTCTAACAGGACAGAGGATCTGGGAGACCGTGGGAGGGGGCCAACGGGGAAGGTTGCATAACAGGCTCTGGCTGTAATTTGTACCAGTGTGTTTTGGAAAGCATCCCATCCGCCATACCAACGCTTGCTGTCAATTCCTGATGGAAACATACACTCACAAGTGAGGTGGGGGCTGCTGCAGTGAAAAACACCCTAGCTCATGCACATGCCTGCACACATAAATTAAGTTATTTTGGCTCCTTCATGGTAAACAACAACTTGTTTATGCTGACATGCAAAATCTATACACAGCAGTGTGAAGCAAGGGCAAACGTATGCTGAGATATGCATTTACAGTGCGGAAAGTATTCAGACCCCTTGACTTTTTTTGCATTTTGTTACGTTACAGCCTTATTCTAAAATGGATTAAATAAATAAAAATCTCAGCAATCTACACACAATACCCCATAATGACAAAGAAAAACAGGTTGTTATAAATGTTTGTAAATGTATTAAATATAAAAAACTTAAATACCTAGTATTCAGACCCTTTGCTATGAGACTCGAAGTTGAGCTCAGGAGCGTCACGTCTGGAAGAAACCTGGCACCATCCCTACGGTGAAGCATTGTGGTGGTAGCATCATGGTAACATCGTGGGGATGTTTTTCAGCGGCATGGACTGGAAGACTAGTCAGGATCGAGGGAAAGATGAACGGCGCAAAGTACAGAGAGATCCTTGATGAAAATCTGCTCCAGAGTGCTCAGGACCTCAGACTGGGGCGACAGTTCACCTTCCAACAGGACAACGACCCTAAGCACACAGCCAAGACAATGCAGGAGTGGCTTCGGGACAAGTCTCTGAATGTCCTTGAGTGGCCCAGCCAGAGCCCAGACTTGAACCCGAACTAACATCTCTGGAGAGTCCTGAAAATAGCTGTGCAGCAACGCTCCCCATCCAACCTAACAGAGCTTGAGAGCATAATAATAATATAATATGCCATTTAGCAGACGCTTTTATCCAAAGCGACTTACAGTCATGCGTGCATACATTTTTACGTATGGGTGGTCCCGGGGATTGAACCCACTACCCTGGCGTTACAAGCGCCATGCTCTACCAATTGAGCTACAGAGGACCTGCAGCTGCAGAGAAGAATGGGAGAAACTCTCCAAATACAGGTGTGCCAAGCTTGTAGCGTCATACCCAAGAAGACTCGATGCTGTAATCACTGCCAAAGGTGCTTCAACAAAGTACTGAGTAAACGGTCTGAATACTTATGTAAATGTCATATTTCCGGGGTTTTTAAAAATACATTTGCTCATTATGGGGTAGTGTGTGTAGATTGATAAGGGGAAAAACAATTTAATCAATTTCAGAATAAGGCTGTAACGTAACAAAATGTGGAAAAAGTCAAGGGGTCTGAATACAACACCTACACATACAGGAACAAATGAGGACATTGGGAGACATAAAGAAATATCAAGAGTCTAATCAATTACTTTTAGAATTAATCAATAGTGTTGAGCTGCAGAAATCCAGCAGACCTTGCAGCCCACTGTGACCTGGCCTCCACTCCACTGACCTTTGACCTCTCAGACGCACACGTACCTATGGTGAACTCAGCATTCCTCTTGTAGTGGGTGATGACCAGATAGGAGACGATGTAGAGACAGATGAAAAGCAGGACACAGATCTGTGGAGATAAAAACTCTGATCAACGTTTAGGATCAAGCTCCCTATGGGGGATTTTTTGTGGCCCCAAACCCCATCAAATTTGGCCATCACTGGTCTAGGCTTACCTGCACTCATTAATTAATGTTGTTTTCACGTTCTGTTGAATAATTCAACAAGTGTGTCAATAGCAGGATACCCTCGGAATAAACATCAACACGCTTGGCTTTAGATTTCACCTATCTAAACATACTTTACATTGTTTGCGAGATCAGACATATTATCACTATAATCCGACTGTTCATTTTCAGAAGATGCTTTCCTTTCAGCGCATCAAATTTGTTAACATTTCAACTGTAGCAAATTATTAATTTTTTCAATTCCACAAGAAATGTACACCCAGCTAAATAAAGTTATCTTTCTTATTTTTCTTATGATGTAAGTGTCGAGATGATGTGTTAAATCCCCCAACAAAACTTTAGCGTTCTTATACATGAAACGGAAAGACAATGTATTCCATTGAGTCCATTTCAGCCAATACTGGGGTGTGTTTGATAGGTCATTACAAACATATCGCGGTCGTAACATTAACAGGAAAAAACAACAGGCACAAGCAAGAGCATGAAAGAGTCGCAGGAATAAAATAAAAGCAATCAATCCAGCGAGATTTAAGTGACAAGTGGATTTTGCACCACTCAAACACAGGAAATAGTTGGCTGAAAAAGACAGATGGGCGGGGACATATTCATTTTCTCATCTCTATTTGCATTTATAAAGCCAATAATTCACTCTACAGAGAAAATCCACACAACGCTGCTGTAGACCCCGAGTGTTGCTGTTTAACAGAGGTGAGCGGGTTCGCACAGGGCAAACAAACACCAGACAAAGTCTTCAAATCCTCTCTGTCACACTAACACAGATGATTTACAGGCAGGCTTTTCACCATCCAGCTGGTTCATCAAGACATCACCACAACGATCTTAGCGATGACTGAACCCAGGAAGACACAGGGGAGTCAATCATCTCCCTCTCTGTTACCTGCACTGTGTTTATTTTTGCTATGGTTGCCAAGTGACATCATGCATGCCCTCTGCTTAATTAATGGTACATTGTCAAAGCTGGGTGTCTTCATACTTTTAAATAAAAAACAACATGGATAAGACTGAACATGCACATTCTAGGGAGTGGAAACTCTATTTTCTCATTCACGTCAAACTGTATATCTTGCTGTGTTAGAAGATTTCTGAACAAAAGCCAATAGACGCATGTTATGAACCCGTTTAGCCACATAACTCAGAATAGTGTGATTTATTGTTGCATGTGTGGCTAGATGAATGCAGATCATCACTTGTGGTTCTATCTTCAAAACAATAGTTTAGCCTCAAGCCTGCATTCAGGAGGCACGTCCTAATGTATGTGAATCAATCACTGATCTGTAGCATCAAGTTGAACTCAGCCTTCTCTCCCTTTACAACAAAATGAAGTTCTCCTTTATTATCGGAAAATGTGAAACTGTACTGTCTGTAGCCTAACTGTATTACAGATGTTGAATTACATCATTGGAGTGGATTTCTAGTTACCAAATGAAGGTTTTGGCGATCTGTGACTGTGATTGAGCCCCTGGTTTTATAACAGGGTCATCAGGGTTAGTTCTGTAGTAGATAGATGAGAGGGGGTCAGATTATCAGGATTACCAGATTAACCAACGAGAGAGTGGAGACCGGCTGGGATTACAACAAAAAAAGCCAACAACATAACAAACTAAATACTCACATACCCACCAATCCTCTATAAAACGGAAATTACCAGATATTTTCTAAAATGGGAGACCCTATTCTTACAATTTGGAACTAGGAATGGCAGCAGTTCTGTGCCAGTTTCAAAGCAACATATCCTCACCCTGGTCTGAATAAAGCTGACGCAATCAGGTTAACGAATAACAGACAGAGAAAAACATCATAATATCATAAATATTACATAAGGAGATAGCTACCTCTGATCCCACAGATAAGTAAATATTCTGTTCCAGAATGTTCCGGCGGTCTAATAAAATACTCCAATATAACATGTTATAAAAGTAAAATAAAAACAGGGCTACATCCTAGAACTGTAAATGTTAGCAATGTGGGCACTCCTATCTGAATTTGATCATTGCTATAGGGAGAGAATCTGTGTCTGTTATGATGCCCTTAATGTATACTTTGACCTGATGTGCCTGCTGACTTGTATTATCATGTACATTTGATAAACTTGACCCACAAATGGCAGCCAACCCAGATTTATCCAGTGAGTGGATGAACGACCAGGCAGAATTGGATACCCCAGCTCATAGCCTGCCCAGTGACCCCAACATCCAATGAACTAGGGCAGAGCTCAGTAGTTGTAACATATAATGTACATCATTAAGAACTACCATACCTCACTCATGCAATATACTGTATATTGTTAGTTTCTAAACCATTTTCACCTAATGTTTGTTTCTGTATTAGGTGTGGATTGACGTCATGCCAGCTTGCCAGTCTTTTTTGGAGTCTAATAAACCTACTGATGGAAATAATGTGGTGATGTCACAGCAATTATACCAGAGCTGAGATGCAGGCTTAGCTGTATACAAGTAAAAGCTTTGTTAGAGCAAAGGACCACAATATAATACGCAACTGCAGAAAATGCCTAATAACAACTATTAATTTCCCATTCCCAAACTGAAAGACGATGCTACAGAGTGACACACAGCGCTCCAAATAGCAAACGAGACATTCAGATGCGTAAGTACATTATGTGTGACTTGCTCTGTAATAAAGCAAGCCATGTAAAACCAGTCATTGGCCAGTACTCAGATACAGGCTGAAGAATAATAAACTAGGCTGGACTGAAACAGCCTAGGCATTCAGACAGCTCAAAGAGAAAGGAGCGCATGCTGGGCAGTTTGAGGATAATGGGAGAGAGGGGTTTTAAATCCACAGACTACAATGCTGTAAAGTCTAGGAGAACTTTGGGCCTCTTTACACTACAATACTTTGACGACAGATACTAGTTCCAGGAAAGATGATCTTGATGTGTAAAAAGACAGATCTAGATTCAAATTTCTACCTCTGGGTGTTATAGTGTAAAGACAATGGCTTTCCCACACCACCTGTCCTTGCAATAATTACCTTAATACCAGTAGACAGCATTCTTGCTCTGTTAGCCTAATTGAAAATGAAAGGCTTTTAAAATATCCAAACATTTGTGAATTGTTGCATTAATCAAGTGTGCAACATTATGTAGAATATGGTTCAGATGAGAAGCTCCTGTATAGTTTGAATTGCTATCCTTATTTTGTTTGTCTATATACTATGGTATTTACGGCAGTGGTGGAAAAAGTACTCAAATCTCATACTTGAGTAAAAGTAAAGATACCTTAATAGAAAATGACTCAAGTAAAAGTCACCCAGTAAAATCCTACTTGAATAAAAGTATGAAAGTATTTGGTTTTAAATATACTTAAGTATCAAAAGTAAATGTAGTTGCTAAAATATACTTAAGTATCAAAAGTAAAAGTAAAAGTACAAATTATTTAAAAATCCTTATATTAAGCAAACGGCGCAATTTTATTTTTTATTTTATTTACGGATAGCCAGGGTCACACTCCAACACTCAGATATAATTTAAAAACAAAGCATTTGTGTTTAGTGAGTCCGCCAGATCAGAGGCAGTAGGGATGACCAGGGATGTTCTATTGATAAGTGTGCGAATTGGACCATTTTCTGTCCTGCTAAGCATTCAAAATGTAACGAGTATGTTGAAGAGAGATAGATCTTAATACACATATTTTACTGATGTAAATCCACCCTTTGATAGAGAGATGTGGTAGTGTGGGGGAGAGGGAAAACATAGCCCATGTCACAATGCTTACCAGCTTATGCCCAACAGCTCACAGCCCCAACAGCTAATGCCCAGCACGCTAATGCCCCAAACAAAAGCCCCACTCTGTGTGAGAGCAAACTGCCAATAAATGGCAGACAGAGAATATGGAGCACCATGGAGGGTTCACAGCATATACAAGCAGCATATACTGTATATAGATGAAAACTAAAATGGCCTAGTGTCAGCGCTTTAAGTTGAGCCTCCCATCCCAACAAACAGTCATCATGTTCGGTCACAGAAAGACAGTCCTTTGTGAAGGACAAAACACCACAGGTCTGTTATATTTTCTCTCTCCCTGTCCAGACAGACAGACAGAGCCCCACTGAGGGCACCTTCACCTGCTCTAGTCCAGAGGACCACAGTGTTACCTGTCTCAGCTCTGACGCACACTCCCTATCTGTCTGTTCCCACCTGTCTGTCTGTCAATCTGTCTTGTATTTCTCTATGTTTTTCTTTGTCTTTCTGACTTTCACATCAGAAATGTTTTCTCCCTTTCTCAGTCTGGCTCTATCCTCCTCTCTGCAGTTGTGTAACACCTTCAGGTTAAGCTAGGCTGCCAGCCCACTAGACAAACTCAAGTCCTGTGTTCTGAAGGATTTCTCCAGTATTTCCTTTCAGTCAGTGGGCTGGACACTGACATCGTAAAGATAGAACAAAAGATAACTGTCTCAGGCATGTTGTTAAAAGTTGGGATGTAAAGGTAAAACATCATATCATACAAATATTTTGCTTGTTAGTGCTGTACACAACAAGTATTTGCTGAATACTTCTGTGAGAAGAATCACGCCTCTGTGATGACGAGTTGTGCTACTAATGCATGGCTCTGTCATTGAGACCATCTTGTGTCCATTCTGCCCTACCAGAAAATATAAGTGGGGGAATGGGATTATTGATAACTATGCATGCCACGGTACCTGTTAAGACTAAACAGCCTTTCAAAGGGCAGATGTAGGTCATGAAAAATAGAACTAGCACTACCACTACCAATACTTGATTAAAAGGCTGCACACTCTGTCCAGCCTAAGGCACTTAGGACACACGTGCATGTGAATAGAAACACAATTGCCCACATAGGTCTGCATACATACACAAACACACAAAGATAAATGCTATTAGCAGCCTATAATGCACTCACAGGAATGGGAGTTAGAAAAGAGAGAAAGAGAGTCTGGAATGACTTAATGTCGTCTGTATCAGTGAGTCAGACAGGCAGAAGAGAGATGGAGATCTACTGTGCTAAACAGGGTCATATGTCTCTTCCCTGTGCTGCTGTGGTGATAGAGCCATCATGCCAGGATCACATGAGCACATACAATATTTGTATTTATTATGAATCCCCATTAGCTGCTGCCAAGGCAGATACACCAATTCTAACAGCAAGTTCCCTCGAATAGCCTACAGCCTCACATATTCAGCAAATTGTAAATGTTATGAGATACAATTGCATTTGCAGCTAGCTGATGATTACAGCGGCGCAGCGAGAGCACTCCAATCAACAGGCAAGCTCTGTTTCACCGCAGTCAACGAGTACTGAGTGTACTTACTATAGTCTCTCTGACTCGGTCGTGGAAAAGCTGTTCCCGGACAGACACGTCTTCTGGAGCTTCCATGCTCCGACAACCATATCGCGGATTGTTCGCCCTTTATGTTGCTCAAATTGATATGTTTTCTGGTCCTTCTTTCTGCCTCATCAGACCAGCACAGCAACGCAGCTTGTCCTTGTTCCTAGGCTGGCTCATGCAAATGAGTCGTGTCGCTGCCTCTCAGCTCTTGTGGGAACAGATTGTCCCTCTGCGCGCCGCGACGGGGGGGGGGGCGTGCAGTTGACGCGGTGCGGTGTCAAAAAATGTGCTGGTACCAATGACTGTATATACCCACATGAAAAAATACTACAGGTTACTATAGAGTACTACAATACTTACTATAGAATTCTATAGTAAACTGTAGTATACTGTAGAATAATACTATACTACACACTGTAGTATCCCTCGATCATGTGTACAGTCGTGGTCAAAAGTTTTGAGAATGACACAAATACTAATTTTCACAAAGTCTGCTGCCTCAGTTTTGATGATGGCAATTTGCATATACTCCAGAATGTCCTGAAGAGTGATCAGATTAATTGCAATTAATTGCAAAGTCCCTATTTGCCATGAAAATGAACTTAATCCCCCAAAAACATTTCCACTGCATTTCAGCCCTGCCACAAAAGGACCAGCTGCCATCATGTCAGTGATTCTCTTGTTAACACAGGTGAGAGTGTTGACGAGGACAAGGCTGGAGATCACTCTGTCATGCTGATTGAGTTAGAATAACAGACTGGAAGCTTTAAAAGGAGGGTGGTGCTTGAAATCATTGTTCTTCCTCTGTTAACCATGGTTACCTGCAAGGAAACACGTGCCGTCATCATTGCTTTGCACAAAAAGGGCTTCATAGGCAAGGATATTGCTGCTAGTAAGATTGCACCTAAATCAACCATTTATCGGATCATCAAGAACTTCAAGGAGAGAGGTTCAATTGTCGTAAAGAAGGCGTCAGGGCGCCCAAGAAAGTCCTGCAAGCGCCAGGACGTCTCCTAAAGTTGATTCAGCTGCGGGATCGGGGCACCACCAGTGCAGAGCTTGCTCAGGAATGGCAGCAGGCAGGTGTGAGTGCATCTGCACGCACAGTGAGGCAAAGAATTTTGGAGGATGGCCTGGTGTCAAGAAGGGCAGCAAAGAAGCCACTTCTCTCCAGGAAAAACATCAGGGACAGACTGATATTCTGCAAAAGGTACAGGGATTGGACTGCTGAGGACTGGGGTAAAGTCATTTTCTCTGATGAATCCCCTGTCCGATTGTTTGGGGCATCCGGAAAAAAGCTTGTCCGGAGAAGACAAGGTGAGCGCTACCATCAGTCCTGTGTCATGCCAACAGTAAAGCATCCTGAGACCATTCATGTGTGGGGTTGCTTCTCAGCCAAGGGAGTGGGCTCACTCACAATTTTGGCTAAGAACACAGCCATGAATAAAGAATGTTTCCAACATCCTCAGAGAGCAACTTCTCCCAACCATCTAAGAACAGTTTGGTGACGACCAATGCCTTTTCCAGCATGATGGAGCACCTTGCCATAAGGCAAAAGTGATAACTAAGTGGCTCAGGGTACAAAACATAGATATTTTGGGTCCATGGCCAGAAAACTCCAAGCATTGATTATGCAAGAATGGGCTGCCATCAGTGAGGATGTGGCCCAGAAGTTAATTGACAGCATGCCAGGGCGGATTGCAGAGGTCTTGAAAAAGAAGGGTCAACACTGCAAATATTGACTCTTTGCATAAACGTAATGTAATTGTCAATAAAAGCCTTTGACACTTATGGAATGCTTGTAATTATACTTCAGTATACCATAGTAACATCTGACAAAAATATCTCATAAGACTGAAGCAGCGAACTTTGTGAAGACCAATACTTGTGTAATTCTTTTGACCACGACTGTAGTACTTACTATAGAATGGTGTGTTATACTGTTGAATACTATAGTAAATACTACAGTATTATCCACAAAAACACTGTAGTAAATACTACAGTAATGTCTGCAAAAACACTACACTTTTTTAACTATAGTAAAAACTACAGTATTTAATTTGTCTATACCCTGCCCATTCCCCTCCGCCATATCGCAATTTGTGCCAACTATAAGTAAAAAATCTACATACATTTACATTTACATTTTAGTCATTTAGCAGACGCTCTTAACCAGAGCGACTTACAGGAGCAATTAGGGTTAAGTGCCTTGCTCAAGGGCACATTAACGTCATTTAGCAGACGCTCTTAGCCAGAGCGACTCACAAATTGGTGCGTTCACCCTATAGCCAGTGGGATAACCACTTTACAATTTGGGGGGAGGGGGGGGGGAGTATATACCATATATTGTGTTCCCTACAGGTTAGAAGAAAAGAGAAGAAACTCTGAACTATCAATTCAGACCTACTTACTTACTTACTTACTTACCGGTTATGGAAAATTAGCTATTTTAATAATTCTTGAGTAGGTTTCCTGAAGGAGAAAGCCTCCACTTTTATGTCAAAGATAATCAAACAAAAACACTATAGTAAATACTACAGTATAGTACAGTCTGCAAAAACACTACATTAAATACTACAGTATAGTACAGTCTGCAAAAACACTACATTAAATACTACAGTATAGTACAGTCTGCAAAAACACTACATTAATTACCATAGTATATACTATCAATAAAATCTATTTATAAAGCCCTTTTTACATCAGCAGTTGTCACAAAGTGCTTATACAGAACAAAGCCTAAAACCCCAAAGAGCAAGAAATGCAGATGTAGAAGCACGGTTTTCTTTTACTACAGTATTTATACTATAATTAACTGTAAATACTAGAGTATACTACACTAAATAATACAGTGAATACTACAGTACAGTCTGTAAAAACACTACAGTGAATACTATAGTATTTATAACCAGTGTCGACCCGTCATTCAGGGCAAGTGAGGCCGATTGTTTTTCCATCACTCACAGCCGAAGATAGTAACATTTTGTATTCATCCAATGTCTGCCATGTTTTTGGATGACGTAAGGACGTTGTCGCTGCTCGTGCGGCTCACTGTGCGCACTGAGTACTAGTGCAAATGTGATGTTGGTCCGCATTAAACCGGATGCAACCTGGATATAGATTGTCCATGAATCGATGTATTCGAACGTGAGTAGATTACCTTGAAAACAATGACATCTTGGATGCAATCTCCAGTTCTTATTATACCTCAGTGGTGGAAACAGAACTGACATGCTATCCAGACCGCACATGTGCGACATCGCCCGCAAGTTGATTTTGTCCCCCCACACCAGACCCGAATAGGACATGGAGGTTGAAATATCAAAATAAACTCTGAACCAATTATATTGATTTGGGGACAGGTCGAAAAGCATTCAATATTTATGGCAATTTAGCTAGCTAGCTTGCTGTTGCTAGCTAATTTGTCCTGGGATATAAACATTGGGTTGTTATTTTACCTGAAATGCACAAGGTCAGTACAAGTCTGTTTTCTAGTAATCTCTCCTCCTTCAGACTTCTTCTTCTTCTGACTTTATATGGCTGTTGGCAACCAACTTTATGGTGCATTACCACAACCAACTGGACAGGAGCGTAGATCTAAGTTCATCTTTCAATCACCCACATGGGTAGATGCTCCTAAAAACCAATGAGGAGATGGGAGAGGCAGGACTTGCAGCGTGTTGAGCGTCACAAATAGAACCAAGTTCTATTTTAGCGCCTGGCCCTGCAGACGCTTGTTGATGCACGCAAGCAGTGTGGGTGCAATGATTGAATAACATGTATGTGTACATTTATTTTGCAACGCTCGCGCACGCGGCGCGTGCGGTATGGTCAGCATGTAACCCTGTTACATATAGACAGTATGGACAATATTGGGAAAGTATTCAGACCCAGTCTGATGTCCTGAGCGCTCTGGAGGAGGTTTTCATCAAGGATCTCTCTGTACTTTCCTCCGTTCATCTTTCCTGACTAGTCTCCCAGTCCCTGCCGCTGAAAATCATCCCCACAGCATGATGCTGCCACCACCATGCTTCACCGTAGGGATGGTGCCAGGTTTCCTCCAGACGTGACACTTGGCATTCAGGCCAAAGAGTTAAATCTTGGTTTCATCAGACCAGAGAATCTGTAAGAGCCTTTTGGCAAACTCCAAGCGGGCTGTCATGTGCCTTTTACTGAGGAGTGGCTTCCGTCTGGTCACTCTTCCATAAAGGCCTGATTGGTGGAGTGCTGCAGCGATGGTTGTCCTTCTGGAAAGTTCTCCTATCTCCACAGAGGAATTCTGGAGCGCTGTCAGAGTGACCATCGGGTTCGTGGTCACCTCCCTGACCAAGGCCCTTCTCCCCCGATTGCTCAGTTTGGTCGGGCAGCCAGCTCTAGGAAGAGTTTTGGTGGTTCCAAACTTCTACCATTTGAGAATGATTTAGGCCACTGTGTTCTTGGGGACCTTTCAATGCTGCAAAAATGTTTTGGTACCCTTCCCCAGATCTGTGCCTCGACACAATCCTTTCTCTGAGTTCTACGGACAATTCCTTCCACCTCATGGCTTGGTTTTTGCTCTGACATGCACTGTCAACTGTAGGACCTTATATAGACAGGTGTGTGCCTTTCCAAATCATGTCCAATCAATTGAATTTACCACAGGTGGACTCCAATCAAGTTGTAGAAACATCTCAAGGATGATCAATGGAAACAGGATGCACCTGAGCTCAATTTCGAGTCTCATAGCAAAGAGTCTGAATACTTATGTAAATAAGGTATTTCTGTTTTTTATTTTTAATACATTTTCCAACATTTCTAAAAATCTGTTTTTGCTTTGTCATTATGGGGTATTATGTGTAGATTGATGAGGAAAAATAATAATTTTATCAATTTTAGAATAAGGCTTTAACGTAACAAAATGTGGAAAAAGTCAAAGAGTCTGAATACTTTCCGAAGGCATATATATATATACAGTGCCTTCGGAAACTATTCAGACCACCTGACTTTTTCCACATTTGGTTACATTACAGCTTTATTCTAAAATTGATTAAATAAAATAAAAACTCCTCAGCAATCTACACACAATACCCCATAATGACAAAGGGAACTGTGTAGAAAATAGTAAAAATAAAGAAAAACCCTTGAATTAGTAGGTGTTCTAAAACTTTTGACCGGTATATATATATATATATATATATATATATATATATATATATATATATATATATACAGTGTGGAAAAAAAGTATTTAGTCAGCCACCAATTGT